CATGTCCTATATGCTTTTAAGTCTAAGCAAACGAAAAATGAGATGAAGGGTTCTTGAAGGTATAGGAAGGAATCGTACCTGATTATGCCCGTGTCCTCCCCTTCTGAAACTGGTTTAAAGAGTGAATGTATAGTTTCAGTCTTAGGTGGTTGGGTACGAATAGATGCTGTATAACAAGAAATCATGGGCCACTGTCTAGAACCAACCACCTAATGCACAAAAATAGGGAGATTACTATCAAATTACAGCAAGCTTTACTGTGCAAAAATAGTCAGCCATAGAATAGAAGTTATAAAATGAAGGATGGCTACTTGCGGAATGTTACAAGAATAGGACTTACTGCAGCAACGGAGGGTAAATCTGACCGTGCAGAAGCAGCATGTCTAACATCCATGCCTAAGATCAATGTAGGAACTTTAGAAACCAAGGGTATGGTCTGTGAAACTTCAGCTGATAGCATAAAATTTATACCACCAAGCTGCAGGAAAACCACAAATTAGAATTTAAAAGCAATAAAAAACATGTGCAAATCAGGGAAAAGTATCCAAGCATGTGTTATGTGTTCCATACTCTTGCATTCATTTTTAAAATAACATTAGCAAGATGAGCTTCGTCAACTCTGTTCATTGCAATGCATTGGTTACGTATTCCAAAGTCCATAAGGCACTTTTTCTTCCACGGACCTAAGACAGTCAATACCGTAAATTGAGTCATTATATTCAAGTAACCAATAAGTGAAAACTGTAGGTCTGAAATGGATATATTTCTACAACCATATAAACGAGAACACTTCGTAGGAAGAAAGCAAAGAACGAATCGAGGAGGATCCTTGCGGAATTTTGAAATTATTTGTTCAAACATCAGGTCCACTCGAACAGAGCCCGGTTTCTTTTTATGCTTAGGATTCTCTTCAAAAACAAATGCTGGGGGACGAATGTGCTGCAACAAAGACAAATTTATATGCTATTCAGTGAATAACTAGAAAGCTTTGCATGTGTCAAATATCTTGTAGAAGTCATTCATATCACCATTCCCTTCATTGCACCCAATTTCGCCAGCTCGGTGTATGAAGAACGAACGTCAAAGCCAGTAGAGAAGTTCACCACAACCCAGAATTCAATTCCTTTTGGCTCTGCAAACTTCTGCATGAGAGGTTAATGATGTCCTCCTCAATCAGAACATATAGATATTACATAAAATAATGTGAAGCACCTTGTCATTAAAATTCCAGCGAGACCTTTTAGGAACAAGATCTACCTTGTTTCCCACCCTCAACTGAAATGGAAGCAACTTGGAAGTATGAGCCATCTGATGTCAAGTTATAAATATAATAATAATTTTAAAAAAATGAATTTAGATATTAAATTAAGATCCTACCAGCGGTGGAGATAAAATACGTCCTCCTACTTGAGTAAATGATTTACAAATTGAGATCCCACAAGCTCGTAGCATGGGATCTGTGTCATAATCGTTGGTTTTAAGTTCCTATTAAAGCAGAAATAATTTTCAGCATTATGCCTCAAGTCTGAAAATATAGATTGTCAAAAGAGTAAAGGGGTGTGAAGGTACCTCATTAAGATCGTTGATGATTTCCATCGGTTTTTGGCTCAACTTCTTCAGTAGAAAGGATCGTTGGTGTATGGATAATTCCTCTTTGTGTCGTTGTAAGGAAACCAAAGAGCAGAGCTAATGCAATATTCAAGAAATTACATTAAGAACTGAGATAACAAGAAATAACAGAAGCAAATAAAAACTACTACCTCAATAGGAATGAACTGGGGTTGACGCTGACTCCCCACATTGATGCATGGCAAGTTTGATGAATAACGGAGTTCTATTCCGTGTCTCTTAACAAAATAATCATAAACTGTCACCTCAACAGTCTGGACATTGTCATTTTGATCGCGGGATCCCTTCAGTCCCAGAAGAAACCTGTTTAATAAACAGCATAATGGAAGAGATACAAATTGCAGAAATTAAAGACGAGAACAAATAAAGGAGAAAATTTAGAAGCTGAAGGCTTACTTCTGCTCTTTGCACGGCCTGTCACTAAGTCCAGTGATTTTGTGTTCTCTATTGGAGTGTGATAGCTTAATTCTGAGATTTTTTAAAATTTGCTTTGCCTGCAGTGCTAGAAACTAGAATTAGACACATAATTCAGCAAATCCTGGAGAGCTGTTGAAAGCTGAGGTAACCTTAGTCCAGTCGATTTTGAAGGGATTATCCACATTTTGGTTGGCCATTAGAAAGTTAACTAGTGGACCTGGCTGTATAATTGTTGTAGTAGATACATCTGTCCAAGTTAAGTCAGAAGCATCACTAAAACTGCTAGAAATGGTTAGAAAGGAATACAAGGAAAGTACATTAACTTACCAAGATTAAAAAATAATCCACCTTGAACAGATCTGAAACTCGAATGGAAACCTCGGCATCCAAGGATACCACCAGTCAAGTCCATAAAGTTCCTTATCTCGTCAGGGAAGTACGATTGGCATAGCAGAAGGCAACTCCTGTCGAGGACAAAAAAAGGGGGGAAAATAAAAAGTCAAGATTGATTTGATGGCTAGAAATAGCTTGCTTTTGGTGGATTAGTATGCACCTCTTTGCATTAGAATGTTGCAAAATGGTGTCTAATGCTCTCAGAACTTCATTATTTCCTGATTTTACTCCATTTGGTGCATCAACCATTGACTGAAAGGGGATGACGGAAACAAAGGTTATCTGTACTTTGAAAGTCTTGAATCCGGATATGATCTTCTGCCTCTTTTGATCAGCCTCACTGAAGTCTCCATTGCCGCTAAGGTTGCCATCTGTCTTGCTCCTAAAGACAAAGCCAGCCATTCCAAGATGCAAAGGGAAACAAAAGATTTAGAGAGAAAAATGATGCTAGATGAAATATTATCCATTTGATGATCGAATGAAATGCTTAAAGCCTTTATATTACCTTTTCGATGTTGCAACATCAAGCACAACTGTGAACTCTAGCTTCTTTTTTGGTAGAGGACAAGCGGTGAATAGGCTCTGTTGCCCATCAGTAGCAAATGTTTGCTCTCCGAACTCAGAGCTGTAAATCTCCCAGAGTTTGTGAATCACTTTTCTAATCAAATTCCTTCGGGTGACAGGGTCCCCATTTTCATAGTGGACATTAACCTTTCACAAGTTAAAAGAGCCATATTTTAGCTCTGCAAATTTCCATGTACTAATCAAACCAAGATAAAATGAACTTACACTATATGAATATAGGTGGCTTGTACCACCTTGAAAGCATACTCTAAAATGATTTGTCAGCAGAAGTATCTTCTTTCCCTTGACTCCTGGACGAGGTCCGTTCATCTGGTTAATATTTGGCCTTAATCTCTCGCTAAGTGATCCACAACCTTTCCCTCGTTCAACTTGCATGGGAACCACATTTGGGGGGATTTCTTGGGGAGGTGGTGGCAAATTTGGCAATAGCCCTTTAGACGCCATTGACTGCTTCCTAAATTGTGTAGAAAAATTTGACAAAAGTCGCAACACAGATTCAGCTGGAATGCGCTTAAGTGAATATAGCTATATCATCTTATGAAAGCATAAAACAAATGAACAAACTAAATGACGAACTAGACCGTGTAGAAGCATAATCCCATTACAAGTTTTAGATTATCTAGACAGCCACATTTCTTATTTTATCAGATAAAATAAACGGAAATACTCGAAAGAGGACAACGTATTAGCTATGAGGACAACCATCTGCTCTTGTATCAAATTGGAGAAGGATATTACCTTGAGATGATCACAAGCTCTTTACGTAAGGATGAGAACAATAAGAAAATGGTGTTTCAAACACTTAATGGTTTGGAGAATGTTTTCTTCATTTATAGTTTAACATACACTTTAGTGAGAATATCAGAAACGTTAATCATGTTATAGTTATTGTGGCAAGAGAGGGTATTTACACATATGGTAAAATAGGAAGAACAGCTAGTACAAAAGGGTAGAAGGTACAGAGATTCATCCTTATCTGAATAGTGCCATGATTACTGATGTTCTTGCTCCTTTTTCTAGTCAAGACGTACTGTAGAAATTCTGGGCAGTTCCACATGTTTAAAATATTTCCAAAAGTTAATGTATGATTTGAGACATTTTTGTGCTGAAGTCCTAATCCTTATTGCTGCAGGTTGAGTCGTGCAATATTCCAAAAAGCAGCAAGGAAAACCTCTTTAAGGTACTTGAAGCTTTCCCAGTNCTCCCAAAACACCTTCATTCCCTAACTTCTCTTCCCTTTTTTTTATCAATCGATCTGTGAAGGGGAGCCTTGGAGCAATACTAAAATCGTCTCCGTGTGGCCTATAGGTCACAGGTTTGAGCCGTGGAAGCAGCCACTAATGCTTGCATTAGGGTAGACTGTCTACATCATATCTCTTGGAGTACGGCCCTTCTCCGGAGGTAGACTGTCTACATCATATCTCTTGGAGTACGGCCCTTCTCCGGAGGTAGACTGTCTACATCATATCTCTTGGAGTACGGCCCTTCTCCGGACCCTGCGTGAACACCGAATGCCTTGTGTAGCGATAAGCTTTCTTATACGTGAACTATTTTATTGAGTACCTGCAACCAGATGAGAAGAAGCCTAATCCGTCCCACTTAGGTTTCGTCCCATTTAAGATAAGCATATGAAAAGAAATCACCTTACCTCCAACTTCAACCCCCAAGGCAAAGAACATATTTTTTTTATGCTCTTCCTTTGGGTAAATGCAACGTAATTAGTTCCATAAGTTACTTTACTAAGTTAAGCAAACCTTACAATTGAGAATTTCTTGTTGCTACAATTTAGGGACAAAAGTTAAAAACCCGCAAACATGAAGATATGATTAATAAATTTAGCAAAAAAAAAGAGCAGAAAGCTTTTCTTTTGGGGTGGGGTTTGGGGTGGGGGGTTGAGATCTTTGAAATATCAACACGAAAGCCCGTCTCTTATGAATAAAACAAGAACCAAATGCATGCCGCTTAATCAAACTCAGAACTGGAATGAGATGCCAAACTATATTTCTCACTTGTTCTTTTAACAACAGAAAGTAGAAGCACAAAGGAAAAAACAAGTTATGCTCCGTTGAACATTAACTAAAACACACCGATACACCCGATAACCATAATTTAATTGTCAACTTGTTGCACTATTATACTCCCCCACAATAACTTGGACGTGATCATGAAATTTACAATATCATTTGAAAAAATCAACCAGCTCTTATTCTATCTAGCCAGTCCACACTTTTTCGCGCTTTTTCCATTTGCTGATCAATGCTTCTTCGAGGCTTCTCAAAAAATTCCACACTCCTCCTAGACCTCTCTACTTGATCAAAAGACATCCTTAACTTAGAAATCTTATCTTCACTGAACTTGTAGTCATAGTTTTTCAATTTTTCAGGCTTATCTGTGCTTTTCCTTGGTTTCTCTCTCCGGTCAGTGCTTTTTCTTGGACCTTCAAAACAGTCGGTGCTCTTTCGTGATTGTTCAGGTCGGTCTATACTTTTTCTTGATAAGTTTCTCTGAGAAGGCGGTTTCTCAACAGTAGATACAAACTTCTTCAGGTGTCTGATGTATTCGGGGTATAGTTCTAAGTCACAATGCGTTCCCCCTTTGAGCCATAATGGTTCATATTTTTCCTGGCATAACTCCCATAGTTGTTTCCCGTGGGAGCAGTCAACAACTTCATCAGAAGTGCCCTGCACAACATGAAGAAACTCATGTGAAGACTGTAAGGTTAATTGCTATAGATGACTAAATAATGCTACTTGAGTAACACACATGCAGAGGAGGGAAAAAATAAAACAATAGAGTAGACAAATCGAATGACATGCGCTTGAATAGAGTAGAATGGACATAGATGATTCATACAGCTAATCCCAAATGGTTGGGGACTGAGGTCTGGTTAATTAATTGATTGAACTGCTCAACTTTAAACACGTTTCACTTCATAAGAAATGTGGCCTGTTAACTATCTTTTTTTCCCCTACTGCTGAGGGGTTTTTGGCGGGGTTGAAGAATAGAAACCATTTCACATAGCTCTAGTAATGTACTGACCTGAGTGTACATTTATTGTTTCCTGTCAAATCCGTTTTGATTCCCTCAGGAATGTGTTAAGCATGGTCGCTCGGGCAGAGTTGCTCTGAGAGCTAAACAAGATATCCCTAGTAAACTACCATATGTTACACTGCGCAGAACCATATTTTTGCCATGCGTATTTTCCATTATATATCAACATTTTGCCAGTTATTTAACTCAAGAAGCAATATAATCTCATCTATTGCTCAGAAGCCCACACTAAAGAGTGATTCATACAAATATGGTGTATATATGAGGAGATAATTACTTACATGAATGACCAGGACAGGACATTTCACCAATGGAATCTTGTCGATATTCTGCACAGTAAAAAAGAAAACCATGTTCAATGGTGGATTTTTCATTCATACTACTGTTTATAACAAATAAAAAACAAAATACAGTTAACCAGGCACAAGAAGGTGAATCTGAAAGAGTTGAATAGATCAATTGACAGCTATTTTACCTTATAGATGTCAAACCAATATGTGCGTTTGACTGGATACATGACCCTTAAGCCTGATAGAATGGGACTATGCAAAATAACTGCTCTTAATCGAGGCAAACGAGCAGCCAGGTCAACAGTGGGACCACTTCCAACAGATTGCCCATAAAGAATTATGTCTTCCTGCTTTGCACCATAGCTCTCTTCAAGACACTTGTAAGCAGCTTCAATATCTGCATAAGTGTTGTGCTCACTTGGCTGCATAAAGCATTTAGAGATCAAATTCGGATAATGCTCCTGAGCACTTAATGAAATAATCAGCCTTATTATTCCAGGAAAGTTCTATTGCCAATTACCTTGCCAGATGACTGTCCATAGCCAGAGTAGTCATATCTGCATCATTTAAAACACAAAACAAAATAAGGTGATATATATATATATCCAAGTTATCCTCCAATTAAATGATAGATCAATGGAGAGAACTATTAGTCTTATTTACTTGTGCTAGATCCTATAAGGAACACAGATGGAATACATGCCAGATTCATGAACAGGGAAACTTACAAACAGACAAGATGGTTTATAATGGTGAACTAGCCATATCGATCAAGCATCTTCACTACCTCTAAGTTCTAACTTCTACTTACTGAAATTGTTTTTATTGGTAGAACCTAGAGCTAAATTTAGCTAAGACCAGACCTATAAAGTTTATTTAATTTCTTTAGAAAAGGACACAAGACTAACAAAGTTAAGTTTACATACATGAAAATAATGTGAAAATGTTAGGAAAATTACACTCAATAGAAACATACTTGTGAGGGGCACTTAAGGGGATTCCACCAAAAAGCTTGTGGTGGTCATGACTCATGAGAGGGGCACTTTTTGGGGAAGTCTTTTAGAAATGCAGTTTAATCCACGTTTTATCAAACGAAATCTCCTAGAATGGAAATCGAAATAAAAGCTAGCTATAATGAGCAGATTAAGGGGGGGGGG